GGGGCAGCAGTTTGTAATTAGTCGCCTTATGGACCTGGCCCTCTGTACAATCCCTGCTTGCCCCTCCCCTCTCTGCATTTAAAACACCCTGCCATCCTGGGGAACACGCAGCCTTGCCATGCCCACGTCCCCTGGCTCATCAGCAACCCACTAGGGCTAATTAGGAGAATTCCCGCATTCCACTTGACACGCTACCACCCCAACTGCTGCCTTTTGAGCCTGGAGAGGCTGCTGATTGCAGGGTGGCGGTGCGGGAGAAATTACCCCCTTCCCCTTTATTTGCTGTATTGAGTGATCTCCTGGATGCCCTCTCTGGATAGGGGGCAAGGTCATTATCCCTGCCTCTCGCTCACGCGCACACCAGAGCGTGTGTGATTCATGCGGCGCTCACACTATGAAACACTCCGGTTTTATTCTGCGGCAACAAGCTTGAGGCTAGCCGGCACCCTGCCTTCCCCCCCATCAACACACACGTGAAGCGAGCGTCACACCTAGGCACATGCGTTCACCCACGGACCCCCACCCACCCCTTTATGATTCATGCCTCCATGACAATCTCGGATGAGCGTTGAGTCTCTAGTAATGGGCATAGAGAGAAAACTGCTGCCCACACCCATTCTGTTCCATGCACATGCCCCCCCACACAGCATCACAATCACCCCCCCCAACCAGATCCATATAGTTTGCAAGCTGACATGTACACCTAGACCCCCAGAAAGCCACAACCTCTCCTCCCCACACCCATGCCTACACCTGGAGATGCACATGCCCTGCACCAACGTTCCCTCCCCAAACTGAGGCCAGCTGCACCTCTGAGGTTCGCCACTCGCACCCCGAGCTGGCAAGCACAGCACGCTTGGACAGCGCCTGCCTCCTCCACTGTTGGCCCCCGGAGAGGGTAACCAGCTAGCCGAGTGAGGCCTTGGCTGCTTTCCTTCTGTGCTGAAAAGCCCTGAGCTTGCCAGGGACCGTCTGTGGCATGGGCCGGACGACCAGCGTGTTTCTGAAGATGGAGGCCTGATTCTTCGCTGGGCACAGCGGAAAGGGGGGACCCATCTTGCATCAGCTGGCAGTGGCTCAGAGGGCCGGCCCATCAGCTCTGGCCCCACCCTTACCTCCCTTGCTTGGTGGCTTAGACAAGGACAGCTCCTCGGCCTCCCTTACCGTACGGCAGGGGTGGGCAATAATTTTCACAGGGAGGCCACTTCATGAATTTTGGTACTTGGTGCCGGGCCAGCTTCCCCCCCAGAAGGGGCGGGGTCTCAGGCAGAAGGGGCGGGGCTGGGGACTAGTCTGCCCCCAGAATTGTCTGGGGCGGGAGGCTTTGAGATAAAAACACAGCAAAGGGCTCGCGGCTCCCGACCCTGCCGCTACTGCGTTGCCTGGCAGCCACCCGGGGTTGCTGTGGCTATTTAAAGGGCTCGCAGCTCCGGCCCCTGCCGGGAGAGAGCCACAAATGGGAGCCGGGAGCCATTTAAACAGGATTCTGCTGCCTGAGCCACCGCTTGGAAATTTGGAGGCACAGGCAGCAGGATATGAATAGATAGTGGCCAGATGCAGCCTATTGGCCAGATCTAAGTGTTAGGTGGGCCGGATCCAGCCCCCGGCTCACATTTTGCCTAGCCCTGCCCTAGGGATATCCCGAGCTGGGGGTTAGAGTTAGATTTCTCTTCCTTCCCTCTCGCAGCATGGCCCAAAGGGAGCAGAGGAAGGCAGATCAGAGAATCTGGCCCTGAATTCATAGGGATGCCCAGACACCATTGTGATGGGCAGAGAACCCTTGGAGTGAATACATAAGGAGTACATAAGTTGCTAACAGACCCCTAAGCCGTGCTTTCTGGCCGCACTTCCAGATTCTTTTTGAATCGTTTTATTTTCACTGCCGTGGGAGAGAAGTGAAAATACCATTGAGTTAAAATCATTTGAGAGCTACTGTAGGTATATAGCTATACATGTACAGTGTCCTGGTATATATACACATATAGATATATAAATATATACATAGGGTTTCTGGGCTTAAGTTGAAACCAGTCAAACCCAATACATCTCACTGAGGAACGTTTGGAGGACAGGGTTTTATCAAAAATACGAACCCAAAATTTGCAATGTTCACTGTGTTTGCAGAGGGAATAAGGAGATCTTAACACTCTCGCTAATTCTTACTGGGAGCTCCCCTCTGGAGTTTGGCAGATAGATTTTAAAAAGCACAAAGGGGAGTTGAGGCATCTAGTTCCCACTGATTTTCATTGATCGCTCATATCTATTTGCTAAGGCAGTTGGACATCTAATTCCCATTTGTGCCTTTAAAAACCTCCTCCTCTCACAGAAGGTTCATTTTTTGTTGCATTCAAGGGGTGGGATTGTTAGCTTTTAAACGCCACTTTAAAACAAATTCTTTTGGTTTTCCCTTTAAAAAATGAGCCCAGAACACGGGAAAATCAGAAAGAAACTAAACCCAGAACCCTATGTATGCAGTGGCGAAGAAGAGGGAGCCGTACATATAAGAACTGGGGGCGGAATAAAAAAATAAGCTCCTCCAAAAAAAAAAAAAGTTTTTTTTAAACAGGCAGCGGTGTTTGGTTCTGTCAAGCGACTGAGAATGAAACAGAATGCAAGGCAGGATAGGAGAGAGATCAGGAGACCACATTCTACCTTTTCACAGGGGTCAATCCAAAGCAACTCAACGGGATCACCCCAGCGTCACTAAGGAGATCTGAATGTGGGCCCAGGAGAAGAGCGAGTTTCACGCCTGCATTGCTGTTAAAATAATTGACTCCCAGCATGCACCTCCGACAGGTGCCTCAGTGGGACAGACAATCCCTTCCTTTGGAGGTGGTGTCCAGGGGACAGCTAAGGATGCGCTCAAAGCCCATGGCTATCCATGCGAGTCCGTTTGGGGTGTTTTAGATGGAAGAGGGGGTTGCCCCTGTACTACCGGCGACCAAGATCCATCTGTGCATCTCCCCAGCGACCTAGCGGCGTACGGAGAGAGCCAAAGGGAAACGAGACAGGGAGCACCAGGCGGAGAGAGAGGAGACAGTGGGAGCGTTAGCGTAATGGGAGCATCTTCCCCAGCAATGCTAAAGCTAAAGAAAGGAGTTGTGGGGGTGGGAATGGCGGGGAGGGAGGAAGGGTGGGGGGAAGGGAGAGAGGCTCAGCAATGCTAAAGCTAAAGAAAGGAGTTGTGGTGGTGGGAATGGCGGGGAGGGAGGAAGGGTGGGGAGAAGGGAGAGAGGCTCATGACACTCCGGCCCCTTCCAGCTGCAGCTGTATGTCACGGGCAATCCCCATGGGAAAAAGGAAGGAGCCATACACCGGGACCGCCGCTAGCCTCGCTGCACAGAAGCCCGCGGAGATTCGCCAATCCACGGCCACCAAGGATCCGCCCGGACGGCCGCCAAAATGAATTCACTGGTGGGGAGGGGGGGGTTGTGCTCTCGGGAAGTCTCTTACACACACCCAGTCCAAAGGCACTCTCCGATACCCCGCAGAGAATCCTGCTGAGGTTGGGGGGCAGGGAGAGACGCATGGGACCTGTCTGGCTGATCACGCTGATACCAGAGGCCATGGGAATCCCAGGGATCCAGAGGGATTTGAGTCATGGAGGTGAGCAGGCCAAAGAGAGGGCCACAGCACTTCATTGCTGAGATGATTTGCCTGCAAGAAGGAGGTACCAGGCCACGAGATCCCAGCTGAGAGTGTCAGCCAGCAGCACACGGCTGGAGAAAGAGTCTGGGGGGAGGGAGTGAAGAAATCTTTGAAAACCTACTCCCCAGGCACACAAACTCACACAGGACCCAGCAATGCCTAATGCTGACCACTGGGCCGTACAGTAGGCTGAGGCAACTGTGCCTAAAGCGTGTTAGACCCCTTCCGAGCTACAGCACACAGCACACAGCCCCAGATAAGAAAGCACATAGCAGTGGGCGGATGTGTCCTAGCAAGGCAATACTCAAAGTGTCCCTAGCACGGAGGGGCAGAGAGCGAGATGGAGACTCCAGGGATGAAGGGGAGCGCCATTTCTCTCAGCTGTGGTGTCCATGGGCACAGCTCCATTGATGTGAGAGCCCATTTACACCTGCTGAAGATCTGACCTTGGGACTCAAAGCTTGAAGTTGGCGAATGGGATCGACAAAGCTGAAAGAGACTTTTTCATGCTGCTTCAAAACTTCAGAGGCCTCTGGCTCGGGGGGGAGCTGGGACTTTGCAGAGCTCTCCCACGGACCGGGCAGGAACATCGGATGAAGTGGGTTTTACCCACGAAAGCTCAGGATCTAATATGTCTGTTAGTGTCTAAGGTGCCACAGGACTGCTGGTTGTTCTTAAAGCTGCAGACGAGTACGGCTAGCCCTCTGTGACTGGGGAAGGTGAGCAAAGGGTCTGACGAAAGGCCACAGACACCTTTGATGGAACTCTGGAGGACTTCAGAAGAGAAGCGTGAAGGGCAGCGGGAGGCGACGACAAGAGGGAGCTAAGTCAAGTCATGCCGGTGGGCTGGGCAGCTTCTTCTGCTCTTCGTAGCTCTCTTCTTCCCTCGCTCTGCCCTCACAGGTGGTTTTCATTGGGGGGCGGGGCAGAGGGTATTTCACTCTGAAGGGAAGCGGTCACTTTCTCACTGTCATTCTGGTCCCCAAAAGAGATTCTCCAGATGTCACAACATCGCTTGTGCTTAAATCCGCTCCCACCTGCACAAACGGGGGAATTTGGCTTGCCACGGTCCCTGCCTTCTGCAGGACTGACTCCGGATTGGCACTTCTGATTGCGAAGCAGGGATCCCTGCAATGCGCCAGGCATTACTCTAACCTGCCACCTTTAAATAAGACAAATGGCTTAGGCCACATCCACCCCCAGGGAATGAACGAGACTAATGTAACCAGCCACCTTTAAACAGGCACACCATGGATCTCTGGGTAAATCTAGGGCAACTCGCCCGCCTCACTCTCTCTGGCCAGTAGGTGTCACTGTGGGGTCCCATAAACCGAAAGGAGGCAGCATCTGACTGGTGCGTTCAAGCCACGGGTGCGTTCAAGCCACTGTGTCCCCACCCCCAGAATGAGAATCTCTGCTCTACCAATGCAAAACCCAGGGACCCAGCAAGATCCAGCCTTCGGCACCAGTTCCTGGACTCCAGCATGTGCAGCCGCGGGTGTGAGGAAAGATCCCACTGCAACCCACCAATCGGAGCAAAGGCCTCCCTCGGGGTTTTTCATCGAGGCATCCATTCCGAGGCCAGGAGGCAACGCCGCGGTCACCGAGTCAGCCCTCCTCAGGCAGTGCTTTTGGAAAACCATCCGGTCTTGACTCAGGAGTGGTCGGTTGACGCCCATACTGCTCCGACACAAGGGCAGACAGGGGGTGGGGAGGCATGCATGAAAGGGGTGCTCCACCAGGCTTCCTAGAAGCCCCACGGCTTTGGTGTGGGCTTCCTGGGTGATGACTATCTGATTTCGGGGTGGGGAATTGCCCCACCTGGCTGCCACGAATTGAGATAGGATGCAGTGTGGTGCAGCTAGAAGCTGCCCTCTTCTGGAGGAAGGTGCTTGTGTACATGAGTCTTCTTCCGTGTGCATGGGACTACATGCAACCCACCCGAGGGCACTGCTCGCCTGCCACATGCTTATAGGGGGTTTGCACCCAAAATGTGCGGCTCGCTGAGGATCCCCTGAGGTGTCATCCGCTTTCATTCACATGAAGTGGGTCGTGAGTCCAATGCCAACGTGGCCCCCAGACACAATGGCTAAGTAAACTCATCGGGTTTCCCTGCATGGTCCAAAAGGATATGTCAGCACCACTCGTTTTCACCAAGGAGAGGACTTGGAAAGAAGTGGAACCTGATCTGGATTCCCATGCCCACCTCAAATGAGTTCTGAGACCATGGGGTAAAGGACCCGGACTGGATCTTGGTGCGCTTAGACCAAGAGACCACTTAGGCTATTTTGCCGGGTATTGTTGATTTGGGGATGAAATTGCCTTGTCTCCTAAAGCAGCTATATAATTGCTCCAAATCACTGTCGAATCCTGGACCCCCTACCCCTCCTATCTGCCATCACTGGGTGCTCCCAGAACAAAGAGAGGCTGTTCTCAGTGGTGACAGATGGCAGAGCGAGGAGCAGTGGTCTCAAGTTGCAGTGGGGGAGGTCTAGGTTGGATATTAGGGAAAACTATTTCACTAGGCGGGTGGGGAAGCACTGGAATGGGTTACATAGGGCAGTAGTGGAGTCTCCATCCCTAGAGGTTTTTGAGTCCCAGCTTGACAAAGCCCTGGCTGGGATGATTGAGTTGGGGTTGGTCCTGCTTTGGGTCAGGAGTTGGACTTAATGACCTCCTGAGGTCTCTTCCAGCCCTGGGATTCTACGATGCTACCATCCGGTGTGGGGAGGAGATGCTGATAGACCTGCGAAGACCAGGTCCCACTGAGGCCTCCTGGCATGGCTGCTATGGCTGGAAGATGAGTGTCTCTGTACACACCTGGGAAGGAAAGGCAGTTGCATGCTGGGAATAAGTGGACGGCATTTGAGCAGGCCCCTCTTCTGTGACCCAACACCATTTACAGGAAGGCCTTGGATGCTTATTGCGGCCTAGTGTCATCATGTGGACTCTACAGGTATCTGACAGGAAGAGCACTCCTAAAAGATACATGCAGCGTCTACAGGGGGCGGTACTTTGCTGCACCTAATGGCAAAGCTCAGTCATTCCAGAGGCGGAAGCAGGAAAGAGGGTTGGGGGGGAGGAAGAGGAGACAGAGCGTTGAGGGGTGAGCGGGGTGGGGTGAATGGGGGAACAAGGTATTTTCCAAGTGTCTGACAGAGACTGGAGTCAATTCTCTGCGCAAAGCCAAAGTCCCGGGAGAGTGGCGCTGCTGGAGGAGTTAAAACACGACTGACTGGAGGAGCCGGAAGCACATCATCAGGTCCAAGGGGATGGGGGGTTTCAGCTGGTTGCCATCCAAGCGCAGGTAGCGGAGCCGGGGCACGTTTTCTAGATCTGAGGAGACGTCTTGGAAGGCGACCAGGGCGGTGGGGCAAATCTGAGTCCCGTTGATTTCTGCAGGGGAAGAGAGAATGTGCCATGGGTTGGAAGCGCCCATCTGGTTCCAGGCAAGTGACGGTAAGAGTTTATCTACCCTGCATCCCACCCACCCGTCCACACATCTATGGTGTTCAGGGATCACTTAGAGCTTACGGGGCTCTGGTTTGTCCTCTCTGGTTTCTACTGGCTGTGCATACCACCCCCTCCAGAGGTTAAAACAGGTTGAAACAGAAGAGGGAATTCTCACTGCACCAAAGGAAGACGAAGACCCTCTTCTCCTCACTTTACCCTGGTATCTCTTTGGGTATATTGGTTCTCCTAGCACAAGCTAATTATGCATCTGACTTATTGACGGAGCACAGCACTGTAGTACCTAGGTACTGATGCTACAGTGGAAACATGTATAGGCTTAGGTGCCAACAGGGCCCACGCTCTCCTTTTTGTGGGTGCATTTGGCACCTGTTGTATTGCACCCATTAATGGATTTTGGGTGCAACTCTAAGTCCTGGTTGTTCTGCCTCGCTGACTCTGGGGGCAATTCAGGTGGCAGAGGTGCAATGACTCCTACTTGCCCCCAGGATTCATTATGTGGGTGGGACCTGTGCCCCTAGACTAGGAGGCAGGGCCTCAGTCCGCCTGAAAAGGTCGATGGACAGCAAGAGAGATGAGTTCCTGGCCCTTCTGTCTGCAAGCTCTGAGCCGCACAGCACCCTAACTCCAGCAATGGAGGTCTCCCATGTCCCCCTTTGTTTGCCAAAACAGGAATCTCTGCATCACTGTTGTTGAATTTAATGTCCCAGGTTGTGGATCACCTCACCAAGTACCATGTGTCCAACTACCCAACAGGCTCACCCCGGCCGCTAACTCCAGCTTCCCTCATGTGGTACCTCCTACCCCCATGCCACGGCTTCTTTCACATGGTACCTCCTCCCCCCTGTGGTATCTCCTCTCCCTACAGAGTTCATCAGTCCAGAGTGCTTGGATTTACTAACAGGAATGAGGTGCAGCTAGATTTCACATCTCCTGGCTCTCCCGATGCCAACCCCAGTCCTCCTGCCACTTCTGCCCTTCAGCTCCCATGGCTTTTACCATTCCACCTGTGGAATCTTATATTGGCCACTGGCATCACCAAATCATCTGAGCACTCACAGCCCCAGCGGAACTCCACACCCAGCCTTCAAAACATCCACCAGGCTTTGGAGAGCCCACGTGGTCCTTAACTCCGGCAAACAATGAGAAGTCCTTGCCACAAGTGGGACCCGCCAGCCTGGCAATGGGAAGGTACAGTCCCCACCCCTCACATCTTCGATTTGGCTACCGCAGTGGTGGCCTCCCTCACATCACAGAACTCCCTCTGAATGTTCTTGGTTGGGTGATTTTCCCAGGAAACAGCAAGCTATAATTCCTCCTGTCCCTGTCGGTGGCTATAAAAATAGCCCAAAGGATTGCTAATCATTGCTGCCATTATGAAGCACCACAAGAGGCAGGAAAACCCTGGAGCTAGAGAAAGCATTAGCCGGGAGTCCGGGGCTTGTTTTCAGGTCTGTTTTGTTTCTGCTGTTTGTGCTGTGCGCTGCTGTGACTGCAGAGGGTTTAGGGGGGAGGGAGGGCTCTCAGATTGCAGCTGTACTTCCTAACGGGTTCTGTAGCGTGACGCGGGGCAGAGAGAAGGATGCTAAGGACCAGGTGAGGTGACCTGGGAGGCAGAAGTGAATGAGTTCTGTCAGGAAGCAGCCTGAGTCATCTGTGTAACAAGGCAAAGGTGAGAAATGTGGTATTGGGGCACTTTATGAAAAGGGGAAAAGGAATGCAGGTTGAACCTCTCTAGTCCGGCATCCTCAGGACCAGACCGGTGCTGAACTAGAGAATTTACCAGACCATGGGAGTTCAATATTGTCTCGCAGCATCACCAACACTTCTGCTGCTTCCTGGACCCTTAGACGACATTTAGGGGCAACTTTGAGCTAAATCACAGCACAGAACACTGAGAGCCAGGACTGGTGGCTGTAAACAAACTTTATGGGACCACGGGAAACTTGGCCACACGTGGGAAAGTGGACACTCGGCTAACTACAATCATGCCGGGCCACGGATGTTGCTGACCCACAGAGTGCCGGACCAGAGAGGTTCCACCTGTAGTTTATGATAGAAAATCAGTATTGCCAACCCGACATTATGGCCCATAAGCCTGGTTTTAAAATCATGACAAAAAAAAATGGCTGGGTTCTTTCTGTTGGCGAGCCAATAGAGGATCCTATTTTCAAGCCACCCTGAGACTAGAAACATGCTTTTTCAAGAGAAAAAAAGCTAAGACTCTCACTTAATATGTGACTCCGGGAGTTGAGGACTTAAAAAAGCCCCCAAGTGTCACAAGGCTCGGGATAAAAAGCTGACAGTCGGCAGTGAGCCACAGGGGAAGGGAACATGGGTCTCTCGCTAACCTGCACCATCCTCCTCCATAACCAGTTTCCCATAGCTGTGCTGAATAACTACACAGAGGAGTCAGCAACTTGGCCCCAAGTTTCTCCCAACTTGTAACATGGCCCAGATTGGCCCTTATTTGGCTTTTTGGGGCTCCTGTCTGTTGCTGCTGGTCCTTTAGTCCCCTGTGGGCCAGTTCCAGCTACTTAAGCAAGACCCGGATCGAGCCCTTCCAACTCCTTGTGCCATTTCTCTTGGCACTGCTGATCTTCAGTGATGCCAACTTGGTCCCACAAGGGTTCTCCGCCTTGAAGCAGTTTGCTCCTCTCTCCATTTCTGGGGATCAAACCCCAGGCTCAAACTACAAGTGCATTCATAAGCCAGCTGCCTATATTCGACTGCACGCCCCCGACAGTACAGTTGCCATGTTCCACCTCAGAGATGGCTGCTCTTCCATGGTGGACCATTTTGGTGGCCAATCTAGAAGTCCTTATTCAGGAAATCTCCCCCATAACTTTACTGAGAGTTTTGAGGTCTCTGGGGTTACATACTGCATTACTGTTATCAATGGGTTCCTCTGTCTCTTTCTCTGATGTGGCAGCCTATGGGAATGGCTGTCCCAAACTGCCAGCTGTAAGCATATTTAGATTTTAACTACAGCATTTGGACTACTGTTTTATAGGCGTCTAATGCCCTATATAGCTCTGCTACCAAAGCTCCCTCATCCTACTCTAGAGCCCAAACTATTAGGAGCGAAGCTGGTTTTGTCTGCCTGTTTCTCCTCTGAATGCAGAGAATTTCTGGAAGGAGCTCTGCATTTTTGCTCCCCTGCAGATGTTTTCAGCCAGGGCAGCAGGTGGTGGGAGCTCTGATAGCACAAACATCTGGGGCTGCTGGGAACAAAGCTTTGTTATTCCCACAGTTGCTGCGTGGATGCAGTTCATGGGCTGGCACCTGTCCCGTGAAATCGCTGTTCTGTGCCTAAATCCGGGCAAAGCGGGTCCTGCCGCATTTGCAGAGGTGGCCACCAGCACAGACCCTGCCCTGCTAGCCTCAACACACAGAACGTTCAGCTGTGCTATTTCCTCCTACCTTAGGTACATAGCTAGGCTCCCCTGTCACTGTAGTATCTGAGCATTTTGCAATCTTTAATACAGTTGTCCCTGCAAGGTGAGGAAGTTTTAGCCCCATTTTACAGATGGCCAGATTAAGTGAGTTGTCCAGGGTCACAAGAGAAAATCTGTGGCAGAGAAAGAAACTGAACCCACATCTCCTGAGCAGTGCTCTGAACCACCCTTTTTCTAAGTACAGGCCCTTCTACCACCTGGCCCCAGCAGCGCTGGAACTATTTTTGGAGTAGGGTGCTGAACACTCCCCCCTCCCTCTTTAGACCTGCTGAGATCAAGTTGCCAACTCTCCTGGACTGTGACCCTCACCACTATCCTGGCTGGGGGCAGCTGCAAAGCCCTGGACTGGCAGTGAGACCCTGGGGCTGGTGGGGCCGTGGTGCAGAAACCAGGGCAGGAAGGGAGGGCAGCAGGAGCCCGTGAGTGACAGGACCTCAAGGACCGTCAGGATCCTGCGAGGCTGACAAAGATGGCGGCGTCAGGATCTTGGTGACTGGAAAAGCGCATGCAGCTGACAAGACTCCACAGGGGCTACCCAGAGGCTGGGACCCGGGGCTGGAGTAGCCGGCAGTGGGGTGGTCCCCAGGCATGGGGAAGCCTGGTGTAAAATTTTAGGGGGGGGGCGCTTCCCGCACCTATGCCTGGCCCCAGGCACCCATGTCAAGGGCCACCCACCCATCCCAAACATCACGTCCTGCTCTGAAGGGAGAGGCAGCCCCATGGCGCTGACAGAACTCTCTCCCCTCTAGGGACGTTGGCTCCCTCTAGGCCCAGCCCCGGCCCGGTCGGCCTGCCGCCCTCCAACTCACTTTCGATGGAGTTGTCGTTTAGGTAGAGGTGCTCCAGCTTGGGGTTGATGAAGGGCACGCTGGTGAGCTTGTTGTGCGCCAGCTGCAGCACCAGCAGGTTGCTGAGGTTGAAGGAGTTCTTGGGCAGCCCTTTGTCCGAGATCTGGTTGTAGTTGAGCCTGAGGAAGGCCAGGTTGGGGAATTCCTTGAAATAGTCATCCGGGATGTCCTCAATATTGTTCCTGTCCAGGAAGAGCTGGTGGACGGCACTGGGCAGCCCGGGGGGCAACTTCCGCAGGATGTTGTGGGCGAGGTTGAGCTGCATGAGGCTCTTCAGCCCCCGGAAGGTGTTTTTGTTGAAGACGCCGTCGCTCAGCTTGTTGTGGTGCAGGTCCAGGAGGACCAGGTGCTCCAGCTTGCTGAAAACCCCCGCGGGGATCTTGGAGATCTGATTCCGGCTCAGTCGCAGCTGCTCGAGGTTGGGGGGCAGGAAGGCGGGCACCTCCTTCAGCTGGTTCTTCTCCAGGTACAGGAAAACCAGGCTGTCCATCTGCTCCATCACCCCCCCCTCCAGCTTCTTGATGCGGTTGTTATCCAGGTTGACCCACCTCAGCTCCGAGGCATTCTTGAAGGCCTCCTCTGGGAGGGCGTCAATGAAGTTGTTCTGGAGATAGAGGTAGTGGATCCTGGGCGGGATGAGGGGCACTTTCCTCAGGTTGCGGCTGTCGCAGTAGAGGGCCGAGGGGAAGTCTGGAGGGCAAAAGCATTCTCTGGGGCAATCCGGGAAGACGGAGGGG